TTCTGCTCAATGGAATTCTGGCATGATTTTGTAAATCTGAAGGCATGCTGGACAACTGCTCTTTCAAGTGATTTACCTCATAGAGAATGTAGACAAGACTTGCCAGAGACTCACCAAACCTGATTACTCAGGAACCCAGATGTATAAACTCAGTAGTGATCCAAGATTTCTATTGTAATTCCACAATTTGAATTAAGAAAGCATGCATACCCTCTGGCAAAACAACCTCTTTGTATTGTTTTTAATTTTTTTAAATTTTATTTGAGAGGTAGAGAAATCTTCCATCTGGTGGTTCACTCTCCAGATGCCTGCAACAGCTCCAGACCAAAGACAGGAGTCCAGACTCATTCTGGGTCTCCCATGTAGGTAGCAGAGACCCAAGTACATGAGCCATCATCTGCTGCCTCCCAGGGTGCACATTAAGCAGAAAGCTTGAATCTGGAGCAGAACCAGGACTCACATTCAGGCACTCTGTTATGGACTGTGGGCATCCCAAATAGCTTCTTAACCACTGTTCCAAATGTCCACCCAGCATTTAAATTAGATCAAAACATTGGTGTCCTAACTCTTTGTAAAATATTTACTTATTACTTATTTACTTATTAGAGAAGAGTAGAGAAAAGAGAAGAGAAACAGATGAACAGAGAGAGAAATCCCATCCACTGGTTTACTCCCGAAATATCCACAATTACTGGGGCTGGACCAGAACAAAGCTGGGAGCTGGGAGTTCCATTCAGGTCATTTGCCTGGCTGTCAAAAATCCAATTACTTGAACCAATACAGCTGCCACCCAAGGTTTGCATTCGCAGGAAACTGGAAGATTCAACTGGGAATTGAACCCAGATACTCCAGTGGGACACACAGGCATCCTAACCAATGTCTTAAATGTGTGGTCTTTGTGCTGCAAAGGTGTCCTCATGGATATTGTTGTCCCATTACACAAAGTGGTTGAAAACAGAAGTTTCTTCCTTGCTGAGGAATAGTTATGCTTCTTCTAAGCAGTCAGTTTGATTTTCTGTATTGATCTTTCCATCTTTTAACTGATCATGCTTCTCTTTTCCCATTGGCTGCTAGAGTAGATCCAGATTTTTTTTATGGGCTCTATGGCATACATTTTGTGTACTAACTGAACTTAGGATTCCTGCTTACTTTCTTATCCTTATTTTTTGTCAACTAGTAAAAACAGTTGCCACTTTAGGTATGGGTAGACCTTTGATTACAGTGAGAAGCTTTTTGCACCTCATGAATAAGGTACGGTGGATGGAGTAGCTCTCTCGAGTCTTGAGGAAGGATCTTCTCTTTGGTCTTTGCTCCTTCACTTCCTGCTGGAGAAATGGCACTGCCAGTGGTGGGCAGTCTCATGCACACGTTGACTCTGGCCCTGGGATCTGACATGTAGAGCTTAGCTTCGATGCCTGGGTTATTTTCTATTCTCGCTACCAACTAAAAATCACCATCTTTAGCAGAGAAGAATCTGCTATTAAGAATTATTTTCGGCCGGCGCCATGGCTCACTTGGCTAATCCTCCACCTGCGGTGCCAGCACCCTGAAAGTCCCAGTTGCCCCTCTTCCAGTCCTGCTCTCTGCTGTGGCCCGGGAGGGCAGTGGAGGATGGCCCAAGTGTTTGGGTCCCTGCACCCGCATGGGAGACCAGGAGGAAGTAACCCGCTCCTGGCTTCGGATCAGCACAGCGCCGGCTGTAGCGGCCATTAGGGGAGTGAACCAACGGAAGGAAGACCTTTTTCTCTGTCTCTCTCTCACTGTCTATAACTCTTTCTCTGTCTCTCTCTCTCACTGTCTATAACTCTTTCTCTGTCTCTCTCTCTCACTGTCTAACTCTGCCTGGCAAAAAAAAAAAAAAAAAAAATTATTTTCTTTCTCGCATGCTAGTCAGAGAATTTGACTATGTGAGCACTAGAATATTCATTGCTGTAACAACAATAAACTATCATCAGCAAAGAAGTGGCTTGTGATCTTTAAGTAGGCCCTTTGTCTGTGGTATGAAATAGTGCCCACAATAATGAACAGGACAATGCCTTGTGAGAGGCTGGAGTACCAGACAGTGGCATAGCTGTGGGACCCGGTGCTGTCCAGACTACCTGGCATAGCTGCTTTGGGACTTGGTCTCTGGACTTGCCCTCTCACCGTGTCTTCAAAAGATAACGAGTTCTTCTCTCACAGTGAAATCCCAAAGCTTGGAAGCAGGAAGTTTAGTTCCCATTTCTATTCTAGAGCTGGGTACAGCTCTGTCACCTGCCCTCATCTAGGGTGGCATATTAGGAAGGGATAGAACATAGGAAGAGTCATCCTTTCTATCATGGCAGGAGGTTGAAGCGCCCATGATCAAAGCTGAAACAAGAAAAATGGGCTCAAGACAAGGGTGGGTCATCTCTGGGCTTCTCTGACTTGTTCTTTTGTACATTCATGACTTTATTCTGGGCTGGTAGACACCTGCCTCATGAATATTGTAGCATTGGTTTCGCTGGACCAGCCCACATTATCATGATAATTGATTTCACATTTAGCAATAAGATCTACTTACTTTTTCAGTCTGCCCATTCTCTGGATGGCCTACGGTGGGCCTCTGGTCTCAACCTTCCACGCAGCCTGGAGGAATGGAGCACTGATATTGCTGGGGCCAGCTATCAGCTTCTTCCTTCATCATGGCCTGCAGTGAGGTCAGCCATGCCTAGAAAGTGATGGCTCCCATCTCTAGTTCAGGGCATTCTCTCCTCTGTCATCTCACACCCTCTCCCTTTCCTGTTTTCTATACTTTCTGGCTACTTCCCATTTCCTGTGTTTGCCATCTGCTTACATTTTGAGATTCCTCTGGCTGTTATTTTGGTTCTTCTCAAGGTGTTTATCTTAGCTTGCTTCTCTCAGGTCTCATTCCATAACAATATAGTCTTCCAGCCTGGCTGCCCAAGCCCTGTCTGGGATAGGATTGGGGTAGGAAGGGATCTGTGAGCAGATGAAGGGGCTTGTACTTAGTATCATGCCTTCTCCATGTTCACGGTGATGCTCATAATGGGCATTCATGTTACAAAATGTGCCTGACTCTGGAGAACAGAGAGCTCTGGTATGAGAGTTTGGAGTTGCTCCCTTGGGGTTCCTTGGTGAATGGTACCAGCTCTTTGGTCTTCTCAAAAAGGAGATTCCGCCCCCCCCCCCCCCCCCCATTGTTACTGCATCTCTAGCTAAACCAGACCTGGCAAGTCCAGTCAAGTCAAACACTGCTGGGTCTGAAGCTCCATCAAGACCCTCCCGGCCAAGGATGAGGTCATCTGAAAGGTGGCTGTGCCAATTTCCAGGACACACCTTTCAATGGCATGTGGTCTGGTCTTCCTTATAGTAGTTTTGAAATCTTGTGGTTTCCTGTTATGGTGGATGGTTTTGCACATATAATCAGTGAAACTGTCCTCACAAATTGCATACATTGCATACTCCATTTGGAAGTTGGTAAGAGAGAGCCAACTTCTTAAGTATCATCTTTCCTCCCTCCCTTTATTCCCAGGTAAATCACCACAGTGCTGCTAGTAATGAAACCTACCAGGAACGCTTGGCACGTCTAGAAGGAGATAAAGAGTCCCTCATATTACAGGTAAGTCATTTTTGGTGAGAATCATTTTATTCTCTTTTTAATATCTATTCAAAGATTTATTTATTTATTTATTTATTTGAAGTCAGAGTTAAGGGGGAGTGGAGGTCTTCCATATGCTGGTTCACTCTCCAGATGATCACAATGGTCAGAACTGGTCCAGGCTGAAGCCAGGAGCTAGGAGCTTTTTCCTGGTCTCTCATGGGTGGCTGGCATCCAAAGACTTGGGCTGTTTTCAGTTGCTTTTCCCAGGTCATTAGCAGGGAGCTGGATTGGAAGTGCAACAGCCAGGACATGAACCAGCATCTGTATAGGATGCCAGTATCACAGGCAGTGCCTTTAGCCACTATACCACAACACTAGCCCCCATTTTATTCTCTTATTTCCAACTCTATTGCTTTCCCTAAGAGGGAGCGAAGTACAGGATTTTTGTTTGTTTGTTTTTCCTCAATTTTCCTGTTCCCAAAGTATGTGTTTTCAAAGCAGACTTTTCCTAAAACAAAGAAGAAAGTAACTGGGGGCACTTTTTAACACTGGATTGGCTTTGGGAATCACGACTTTATTTATTTGTCATGCATTACCATGCACCTGCCTCTACACACTGGAAGTCCTGTGGCCAGGCTGATTGCTGTCTGCTAGGAATGAACAATGTCCTCCTCCAGGAGCCCAGGAGCCTTGTAAGGGAGATTAGATACATCCTCATGTCACCAATAGAAAAGGGCTGTGATATGGGCCTAAGGGTTCCCTTGGGGACTTGCCAATGAAGTCAAGTCCAAATCCTCTGAAGCCTATCTAGACTGATCACTGGAATGCCAGATCCCCTGGAGCTAACTAAGCCCTGATGGCTTTCTTGCTTGAAGGAGAGAAACTCCACAGCTTCCACGGAGAAGGACCGGCAAAGGAACCTTTCTACCTCTGAAAGCGGTGTTCCTCCATAGAACAGAAAGTTAGGCATCCTCACAGGAAGTACTGAGGCAGGAGCTCTTTGCTGTGTTAGCTCTCAAATGCGTAAGTCAGTTGAGGAAGCATTTACTCAGGTCTCGTGCACCATCAGATGTTAATGAGCTATATGGGTAATATAAATATTAATATCCTAATTCCAACTCCTTAAAGAGCTTAAAGGGCAGTGAATAAGACTGGCGAAATGGAGGTGAGGCTGACACCTTCCCCAGGCTGTAGACTTGGAACACCAGAATTGTGAGGTAGCTAGCAATGTGTTTGTTTCATTTTATTTATTTATTTTTCATTTTATGTTAAAAACATGAGAGTGATAAATTATTTTAGAAACTTTGGAAATACTAAGAGAATTTAAAGAAACAAGTTATCATGTTGGCCATTTGTCCAGTATTTTTTTTTTTTTCAGGCAGAGTGGACAGTGAGAGAGAGAGACAGAGAGAAAGGTCTTCCTTTGCCGTTGGTTCACCCTCCATTGGCTGCCGCGGCCGGTGCGCTACAGCCGCTGCACCACACTGATCCGATGGCAGGAGCCAGGTGCTTCTCTTGGTCTCCCAAGCACTTGGGGCCATCCTCCACTGCACTCCCTGGCCACAGCAGAGAGCTGGCCTGGAAGAGGGGCAACCGGGACAGAATCCGGCACCCCGACCGGGACTAGAACCCGGTGTGCCGGCGCTGCAAGGCGGAGGATTAGCCTAGTGAGCCACGGCGCCGGCTTTGTCCAGTATTTTTTTTCTATCCTCCTTCTGTTTTAAATAATTGAGTTCATACCAAATATACAATTTTGCATCCTAGTTTTTTTTCCCACTTCATTGATTTGCTCATTATAAAGTAATTGAATGTCCATGACTTGTCAGGTGCTGGTTTTAGATGCTGGTGATGTCACAATGAATACAACAGTCCCTGTGCTTGTAGAACTTCCATTCTAGTGTGTGTGTGTGTGTGTGTGTGTGTGTGTATGAGAATATTGAACAAACCAGTATGTATAGTACTTCAGGCAGTGGTAAATATGGTGGAGAAAAATCAAGCTTTGTAAAAATTGTGTAGTTAGGGAAGACCTCCCTGCCAGGAAGAGGAAGCCAGGGCAGGAGCCACACAAGGTAGTTGGAGAAGTGCATTCCAGGCAGAGGAGGTGGTCAGTCCTGCCCTCACTCTGAGGCAGGAGGGTGTTTGGTGTGTGGGAAGAATAGCAAGGGGCCATTGTGACAGGGAGCCTATGGAGAGATATGGCAGGAGCTGCCTTCAGAGAGGTAGCAGGGCACAGATTTTAGGGCACATTATATCTCTTTTTTCGGGGGGGAGCACATTATATCCCAAGGTGTTTTGAAGGATGTGTGATCTGAAACTTGATCCTGAAGACATTGTTAATGAAAGGGTTTCCAAGTTAGGATTTTGCAGCAAACAGTATGAAATTGCCAACTTTCAAGTCAGGATCGTATTTGGAGAGGATCACAATTTAATAAAGAAGCCGCATGTCATAAAACTCTCTTTGATTGTCATGGTTTTGTGAAATACTGAATTCTGTAAAATTCTGAATGAACCCTACTTAAATAATTCTAACACAATCCTGGCAATAAATCCAGAGGTTGTCTCCAGTGGTTTCTGCCCCTCCAGGAGCCTGCGCACAGACTCTCAAGGCTGCTCCTCTGTGATCACTGCCATCCCAGAATGGCCGGCCACCAGGAGCAGGGCAAACTCTTGCTCAATTCTCTCAGCCTCTCTCCCAAGCTGAGTTAATTGGAGCTCTTGGCCCAGAGTGTTTCCCTGGGTCTACTTGGGAAAGAACAAGGCAAATCACACATAATAAAATACTTGGTTTCCAATATTAGTTAAAAATGGAAGCAAAGTCTTTTATGACTCCTCAAGGCAAGAAATTTCATATCCCCCTCTTTTTTTTTTCTCTTGTCTGTTTCTCCCAGTGCCTGAAATTATGCTTAGCAGTAGAGGCTCAAAAAATGATTTTTTATAGACTGAAGGTTACATTCTTGCATCTGTGTACATTTTGTCTCAATTTTCTACTCCCTCCATTCATAACACAGAGATCAGTGTTGAGGTTCTCAAGGCCCCTCTGGCCCGTGAACTGGGAACTATAGAATGCTGGAGACCATATACTGCTGTTCCCTGTCTGCCACCAGCTCATGTCCCCAACGTGTAGTGCAGACCTTGTAAGTGCTGGTCCTTATGAAACATTCTTCCCAGACAGAAAGTCTGGATCCCAAGGAGCAGGGCCTACCTTATAGGATCCTGCCCTAATGAAAGTGGAATTAATAGTTGAAAATGCCAGGACCACTGATAGTGTTGGATGACAAGGATTACAAAAACAAATACGAAAAACTCACGGAAGTTATGTTTAAGTGACAAGTTGACAGAAGGAGCCCATTTTATTTTTTTAATTTAAAATTGAAGAGTTAGCACATAGTGCATCAACTACAGGAATATGCTTCAATAATTCATTTGTGATTTGGGAACATAAAAATGAAAAACTTAAGGTTCCAATGTTAATTTAGTTCCTTTTTTAACACGAGCTTTAAAATTTATGAAGTTGATTCAAACACTCATAAATGAATTCACACTGAATCTTTTCTGCTTCATCTATCACTCCATTATAGACTCAGAAATAATTTAGGGTGGTCCATATGTGAACAGCAGTGACTCTGACCAAAAAGGTTTGAGGGATCTCAGTTTACCAACCATTGTTTTATTTACTTTTTGGAGACCACTCATTCTCCTTCATTTTTCTGTTTTAAGCTCTCTCTTTTTAAATCAATTGTCTTTTAATTTCTTTTAAAAAAAAGTTTGTTTCTATATACTTGAAAGGCAGAGTGACACAGAGAGATACAGAGAGCTAGACAGACAGATCCATTTGCTGGTTCATTCCCCAAATGCCCACAACACGCAGGGCTAGGCCATGCCAGAGCCGGGAGCCTGGAACTCCATCTGGGTCTTAAGCACTTGGGCTGTCATGCATTGCTTTCTCAGGCACATCAGCGGGAAGCTAGATCAGAAGTGAAGATGCTGGGACATGAACTAGTGCTACAGTATGGGATGTGGTCATCCCAAGCAGTGGCTTAACCTGCTGTGACACAAGGCCCACCCCTGACTTTTCTCTTAAAAAGGACAAAAGAATCCTGGGGGAAGTATAACTTTGAAACTTTTGTCTTTTAAATGTTTCAGTACAGATCCTCAGGGTTCTTCAGAAAGAGAACTTCTTTCTGCCACTGTATGTGCAATGTGGCCTCTGTGTATTTATGACTTAGAGTCATGTTTTGGCCTGTGAAGCACAAAAGCCTCTCAGGAGCCAAGTTTTGACAGTGCTATTACATGCCCTTTACGTCCCACATTCCTTAATTGCTTCAAAACACTTGCCTGATAGGTGAGCAGTCCTCATACTCTTATGAAACAGGTAAGGTCATTGGATTGCATTGCCACGTGAGGTGGCAGAAGCCCTGGCAAGCCAACTGAGATATGCCTTGAGGTCTGGCTGCCCTATAAGAGGAATAAGGAGCAGGAGTCCAGCCCAGAGGCAGCTCTTGTGGCTGTTGGCTGTCTTTCTCTTGAGTCTGTCAAGAGCAGGACATGTGATCTCATCATTCAGTGGCTGGAACTCCTTGGTAAGGTAAGAATCTAGCTGGAGTTGCCTTCGCCCAGACCGCTTCCCTCACCTGCTGCTCACTGGAAAGCAAAGCTGTTCCTGGCATGTGCAAGTCACTGCTGTGGTTTCACCGCTCACGTGAAGGAGGGAGGCTTTCCTGCCCCATGCAGAGTCCCTGCTCCTCCACCATTGCTCTGTTTCCTGGAACAGGTGAGTGTCCTCACAGATCAAGTGGAAGCCCAAGGAGAGAAGATTCGGGACCTGGAAGTGTGTCTGGAAGGACATCAGGTGAAACTCAATGCTGCTGAAGAAATGCTTCAACAGGTAAGGGCAGGTGGGGCTGAAGGCTGTTGAGTTTGAAGCAGCTCATGTGTTAAAGTTCCTTTCTGTACCCAGGCTACAGCTCGCGCTGCCTGCTTTCTCATCCTGGCTAGAGGTGAGACTGGTGGCTCAGTGTGCAGTGTTTATACAGCAGGTGAAACCAGGTCTGAACATTGAGTGCAGAGCGGGTAGGGCAGGGAAGGGCTGGCGCGAGACAAATAACCTGTTGAGCTGGTTAGGCAGTTCCCAGGCAGCACTTTCTCCAGGCTTGGTGTGGAGAGAGGCTCGGTTGGGCTGGCACCCTGGTGTTATCACAGGAACCACGCTTTGACAGCTGGTGGCATGTGCAGTTTACGGTCAGTTCGTCAGCTTATTTGGTGCCCACATTCCCAGTCTCCTTCTGCCTCTTTCCACTCTGTAGTCTTCTTTGATAAAGATTATTATATACATGTTATTTTAACATAATCTAGTAGCTAGCAATATGAAAAAATACTTAGCCGCTTCTCTACCACTCTACTTGTTTCATTTTGCTAGTTGTTATGTGTACGTAGAATTTACAAAGTTGTAGTCACACCAGAAGTGCAGTTTAGTTCTCATATCTTGTATCTTTGATATGATAGAATTACTTTTTTTTTTCCAGATTCAAGTTTTGCTGCATAGTTCTTTTTTTCTTTTTCTTTCAGTTTTCTTTTTTCTTATTTATTTATGTGTTGAGAGAGGGCTCCTGTCAATTTGTTCACTCCCCCAAAATCCCTCAGGCTTGACCCAGGGCAGAAACCTGGAGCTGAGAACTCAATTCAGGTGTCCCCCGTGGGTGGCAGGAATCCACTTACTTGAGCCTTCACCACTGCCTCCCGGGAAGCTGGAGCCAGGAGCCAGAGTCAGGTATTGAACCTAGGTAGTCTATAAGGGACGTCAATATGTTAACTGCTAAACACTTACCCCTGTACAGTTATCTTTACTACCATGTATAATAGGGGCTTTTTTGCTTTGTCTTTTTTTAAAGTGACAGTATCATAATTGAAGTAACTATTCTTGTATTGTAAATAACGAGTTGCACTTTTTAGGGGTATTGCATTTTTATCTAAAGTCTTTTCAAAATCTGTTGAGAAGCTAAGTAGATTTTTAAATAAAATCTATTAATATGGCATTTAGAACTAATAGATTTCCCTAACTTAAATCAGTCTTGCATTTGCTCTCTTATTTTGAAAATCAAACCATGATTGGAGTGTATACTTCATAGCCCCTGATATAATACCTGGCATAGAAGATGCTCATCAGTTATTTAAAGAACAAAAGTCAACCTCTGAAAATGAGTAGATTCAGTTAAAGGATTGCTTATAATCTGTCTCTCCAAAGCAGTGTTTTTTTTTTTCTTTATTGTGATCAACATAAGACTAAAATTCTCTCTTGGCAGCAATTTAGTGAGCTTTGCATTTTATAGTTGGTCGTAGGGTAAATATCTTAATTCTGGTATTTGTTAGTTTTGACTGAGTGCGTTTGAACAACTCAAAAAAAAAAAAAAAAGGCAGGTCAGTCTTGTTATGTGTGTATGTCTTCATCAAAACTAGATCCAACAGCTGAGAAGCTGTTTGCTATCATTTCATCGTTAATTAGTAAGTTACCAAATGCTTGGCTCCATTTGATTTTCTATTTAGATTGCATTCCATTTCCCTTGCTCATGATAAACCCAAAAATCTGAGTAACAAAAGGGCTTGAATTTTTCTTTTTCTAAATCGAATTTCTTGAATGCCCAGAAAAGAAAATAGCCCACTGGGAACAATCTCAAAGGACGCAAAATCATTTTCACTAAGAACACGTAAAATAACTCACCACATTGTGTTTCCATGTCTGTACTAGGTGTGGTTTTGCAGTAGGAAGGGTAAGGGAAGAAGATCATGGAGTATTGTAAGTAATCCAGAAAAAGGCTAAGAAAAATTGAATGTAGACCAGAAGATATGAGGAAAATGTCAGGGGGCTGATGTTTCAGGCAGGGGGAACCTGGAGAGCGGCCACGTAAGGAAATGAGAGGAGGACAGAGAATAGTTGCGTTGTGTTTCCTTGGGTTACCTGTCTGCCCATCCCGGCTTCTCTTCCGGAGTGCTGCACAATCTCTCCCTGGCAGTGTTTCTGCTCCATTGTCAAGAACGTCTGTGACAAGGAGTCCAATGCTGGTGCCCAGCACCACCTAAGAGGCTATCTTGTCCCTTCAGGGGTTTTCCATGGATGGTATTTTAGACTTTCTGTAGAAAGTTTAAAGTCCAATTACTTTTTATATCTTGTTTTTTTTCTCAGTTCTCTTTCCTTTTCTCAATTTTTTATTTTTAACTGATGCATAAAAATTATACATGTTTATGGAGTACCATATGTTGTTTTGCCATGTTGCATTAATATATAATGTTCAAATCAGTTCATTATTATTTCATTATGGTGAAAATATTCAAAGTCATTTCTTCCAGCTTTTTTTTTTTAAAAAAAAGATTTATTTTTTATTTATTTGAAAGGCAGAGTTACAGAGAGAGGAGGAGAGACAGAAAAGGATCTTCTATCTGCTGATTCACTGTCCAAATGGCTGCAACAGCTAAGACTGGGCCAGCCCAAAGCCAGGAAGAGCCAGGAGCTGCTTCTGGGTTTCCCACATAAATGCAGAGGCCCAAGGAATTGGGCCATCTTTCTCTGCTTTCCCAGGTGCATTAGCAGGTGCATTAGGGAGCTGGGTTGGACGTAGAGCAGCCAGGTCTCAAACTGGCACCCATGTGGGATGCCCGTGTTGCAGGCAGGTGGAGACTTAACCTGCTATGCCACAACACTGGCCCCTCTTTTAGCTTTCTAAAAAGGAAGTATATGATATATTATAATTATCTATATTCATCCTACTGTGCAATAGAACCTCAGAACTTCTCTCTCCTATATAATTAAAGCTTAGCACTCACAATTAATGTTTCCTAAATCCTCTTGTTTGTGTTCTGTGGATGAGGTATCAAACATATAGTTTGCAAGTGTCATGTGCCAAAGAGATGGATGTTTTGACCTGGTATACTTTGGAGTATGGTAGCTCTTTGTTTGCCATATCTGGGTTTTAAAGATCTTCCTGAACTTGACCAAGGTATTCTTATGTTCCTAAGCTTTTACCATATCCTCTCAATATTTCAAGGATAAAAAGATGTGTATGTGGAATGTAAATTATGAGTTCAGGTCCTGGGATGCATTTGAGCCTCAGCTTTCCCTCATGCATTTGCTAGGCTTGTTGTTGCCAGAGCTTGAGATCACTGAGTTCCCAGTTCTAAATCCCAAGCTGAGTGTTCAGCTCTGCATGCTACTGCTTTCCTGAAACTTGCTTGATGTTGTTTGTAAGATGATCTTGCATCTCAGTGCTGATGCAGTGTCATCTATAGCTTGGAGTATATAGAGTCCTCTGCAGGAAGGGCAGGCAGAGACTTGTCTGGTTTGACTGAGATATCCTGGGCTGCAGGGCTTTTGGCCACTGGTGGTAGGAGCAGGAGTGACTCATGGCCTACAGACAGAGAATGGAGGCAAACAATTGCCTCTTTCTGTCAGCCTCAGAGTCCATTCCTGCCCAAAGCCAAGCCAAGCCTAAGTGCTCAAAGGCCTAAGGAACTTAGAATGAGATCCTTTCCCTGGCTCAGCCTGGGACCTTCCCTGTGTGCTGCTCATGGTAACACTGCACATTGAATGCATCCTATCTAAAGGTGGCAGCTACTATTCCACTCCAGTTGGCTGTCCTCAAATGCTAGATATTCCTGTTTTTTAAAAGATACGGCTAATCCAGATTTAAAGATGTCTTTCCATTTAAAAAAAGTATTGGCAATGAATTAAAAAAGAAACGCTGCATGGATCACATAATATGCATCTGTAAGTCATGCCTGGCCTGCAGACTTTCAGTTTGCAACCTCTGCTCTAGAATTTTGCAGCCTCCACCCAGTGACTGAATAGCATTAGGGGGACTTAAGGAAACTCAAGTCCAACGAGCATGGCCTAAACTCTGTGCTTGGCTGGGCTCTACCAAACTCACTGAGTTCTCTCCTTTGCTGTCCTCTTGACCGATGTTAACCTCCCTCCAGTAGCCTAAACTGAGAGAGTTAATCCCCACCCAACTCATGAGCCATGCACTTCTCAGCATGGCTGAGCCTGGCCCAGCTCCTGCTCAGTGCTGATCTTGCTCGCAAATATTTTCATCTACACATGAACTCATCCAGCCTCCAGAAGGAGAGAAGAGACCTCTCTTCTCTGGAGACCTCTCTGGATTAGACAGGCAAGGCTGGAACAGAGAATCAGTGCAGGTCCACATGAGCAGCACATAGATTGTGACCACATTTGTGGGCAAGCTCATGTTTCTTGTCTGCAGCTCTCTGCAGGATATGGAGTGAGGAAGGGCAGCTACGAGCTTCTTGCAGGTCTTCCTTTGGAAGCACCTACACAGACATGCTCTCAGATTTATTGGGCATGTCTTGATTTCCAAAAAACTTTCTCCATTAAAAGCATTCCTCAGAAAATTTAAAAATGGATCTTTAAGGGGGTACAGGCGGAGTCAGTTGTTACGGGTCTAGGTAGTCTGAGCCTGGGTTCCTGAGCTCACATTGCTGGATTGTGCCTCTCTGGCTCTTAAGCAGGTCAAGACATTGCCCATCTGTTCACTGAGGCCATCAGAGCTCAGGACACAGAATCACACCGTAGGAGTACAGATATGGACCAGTGACCTCCTTGTGACTGGCTCGGACCAGCATCGTGGAGAGAGCCCTCCTTGGTCTGTTGGGGTATTTGAATGGACTCTCTGGGGTCCAGAGGTTGATGATCTCAGGAAAGAATCTGACACTACTCAGTAGATATAAGGTTTTACACAGCTGGTAGTCAAATGGAGCATTTCCCAGACACTAGCTGGAGCAGAAACGTGGACTAGCATTGTGGCATAGCGGGTTAAGCTGTCCCCTCTGATGCTGGCATCCCATATGGGGACTGCTGTGAGTTCTGGATGCTCTACTCTG